CGCTAAAAATGAGTGTAGTACTGTAGTCTATAACATCGAATATAATATGCGATATTAATTTGAGTTCCAATTCTCGGTGTTGTTCGTGTCGGACCACTGATCAGCAACTTAAATTTCATATATTACACTCTAAACTAAACACTAAAAATATGTGACAATTTAAAAACGGATGAATCGTTTTGAATGATATAATATATAGCGTTTCACGAGATGAAGAAATTCTCTCATAATATGCTCACTGAGTGTTGTTTTCTAGAAAATAATATTATAATAATATGATATTTCAGAAAGTTCGCCGTTGGGATGACGAGTACACGATTTTGTTCTTTTCCAAAATTCGTCAATAATTCGAAAAAAAAAATGAACCGTTGATCTGTTTGCGTTACAGAGACCGTGGTAAAAAATACGCCAACGGTGACGAATTCCCATCGTTCCATCTGCGGAGGAGACTCGCCATTTCATTCGAAGTGCAAGACAATTTCATAAATGCATCATCACAAATTAATTTTTTTATAATGACGTTGTACATCGGTAGTTTCGTTATAACTATGATATTATTATTATTATTGTTCAAACGAAGACGGACGGCGACCGACCGAAACGCCCAGTCCATTTATCCACAGTACACGTGTATATCGTTAAATCTATTAATAGTGCTCGTTTAATACTATTATGATGATGTGACGAAACTCGGACGATCGTCGTATTGTTGTATACGACTTCGGCCGCTATGATATTATTATAATATCGGGACGACCACCCGCTGTAACGTCACAGCGTTTCGATTTAATACGACGACAGTTTTGTGTAGGTAGTAGTAGGTAATGGTAGAAATAATCTTACTCGATTGTTAAATCCTCGTACCGTCCATGCAGAGTACGTGAACGGATAGTCAGAAAGGTCCCCGAAAACGAAAAATTAATTTGATCAAACAAGTGTGCAAAAAATCTCAAGTGACACCTGATATGAATTATTGACTCAGGAGTGGCTGATATAATACACAGCACGTAATAATATTTTAAAAGCAATTATACTCGTTAGTGGAGCTTTGTTTTAAACAGTTCGATTGACATAGTACATTGTCCGTTTCGTTATATATACGTACAATTTATCGTAGAGAAAAATCGGCGCCAATAAGTGGTTGTTCGATATCGTGTCGTGGCGAAAAATGATACACATTTTTGATAATTATCGTGCAAAAGAATAATATACACGTATGTTGAGGTTTTTCGTTACAGAAACTGGAAAAGTGTTTAAAACTTACAGGAAAAAATAAATATTGTTGGAGAATTCTTTGAGTTTCTCAACGCACCATGGGAGATCCCCCAGAGTCATGTATACGCAATATATTTTGGAGTATTTAACGTGAACGGCAAAGCATCACAATCAGCACACAAAATAATATTGTTGTGTTTCTTCCGTACGAATTACAGATTATAATATATATTTAGATTTTTCCTCGCCACGGCTAAATACAATGGATAATATATTTTATAGTTTTCAAATTTCATTCTAGAAACGTACCAAAAACCGGTATGTATATACTAAGATACAAGTATAAAATCGTGATTCGATGATTATACTATTTACTTCAGCACGATGAATGGTTTGTTACGCTACTTAGAATAATTCAAAGAAAACGGTCTTTGAATAATTTATTATTATTTTTTGTACTAATCTATGAATTTAAGTTTAAATTCAAATTAAAGAACAAACTATTTCTTATAATTTTCTACCCTGGCTTACCAAAAACATCGCACACAATGTTAATATTAATAATACACTGATTATAGTAATTATATCAAATTATAATATTATATTGTCTTGTAAATATTCGATAAAAAATAATAGTAGTGTAGCAAAATTGCATATTCGAAACGCCGTGCGTTTGACCATGATAATATAATATTCGTGTGTTATTGAAGAGCGGTAGACTTATTATAATGTTATTAATATCGCGAATTTACAATACTATGTAGTCTGCGGCTTTATGCAACGATAAGCAACGCTGGTGTATTTAACTCTGTGAACGATTTAGTTGATGCATTAATCATAGTCTTAATTTTTAATGAAGTTTCTGGTATTCGATGGTACTATATAGGTACAACACGCAAGAATAAGGCAAATATTGCTCTGACGAATGTATTTTTAACAGTAACCCGAATCATCTTATATTTTGAATTAATGGGTTTCTATAAATTATCATTCTTCAAATTTAAGATCTATCGCGCGCGCTTAACGTGTTGTTATCAGTGCGTTGCCGATTTTAAATTTCACAAAATGGACATCAGTGTTTAAGTATTTTAAGTGTCTATTAGATCTCGGCGTTTTTGGTCGAGTCCAACCTCTAATGTAATATGTTGGCACTCTGACGTAGTAAATAATAATGTGATTTGAAGTAGTTTCAGTTCGCTTTAATAACAGCTTTGGGTGCGACTTTTCTGGAATCTTCGTTTCCGTTTTACCAAGACCGTTTTACCGTATTTTCAATAATGTGATGGTTAATTTTAAAGTGTATTTATTATTTATTTCTAAATGTAGTTTTTATGTTTTAATAAAATGATTATCAAAATAAATATTGAACAAATCTACTATATTTTTTACTGTTTACGCTTTTTCAAACGCATTGATAATTTATTGTCTTCATATTATCGTCCCCTTATTGATTGCGAGTAACATTTAATTTATTTCTTCTGATGAAATAGTATTTGTTGTTTGACTGTAGTTTCGGTCTGAATCGATGTTCGTACATCTCCGATTATATATTTTATGTAAACATTCCGAATTAAAAGTTTCGCTGAAAGATATCTCAGATTATTGGTCGAACGGTTCTAAAGGCGGGTTTCTGAAATGAATAATTTTTATGTTAAGGTGAAACGAATTTCACCGTTACGCTTATTATAAAACACTCTTTACGGCTACGCGTAATTTTATGGCCTATGCAAGTAAACAACGGATGGATATAATGGAATATTATTATGATTTCCCTACTACTATACATGAGTGAGTCGTAATATTATCTATCATGACGTTTTATCCGCTCAACTATTTGAACCCGCCCTAATCGACTGCGACCAATAATGATTATCGTACGTGGGCGGTGGATTTTGCACAATTAAATTATTTCAGTTTATTACTGAGTCACGAGACTCATTGAATATTAATATCAAAGTCAGCTGTTTAGGAAACTCAAGTGTATTACGCGCATACCAACGTGGCTGCTATGCGCTGTTACAAAGTACTTTAATGAGAAGCTATAGTCGAATTGACTTACATCATTCTGATAACTATATTTAGCTAACACGGTGTTATGTAATAGGCAACAGTTGTTGGCTACGAGTTTAATACCGACCAAGAAATCTAGGTACAAACAATTCGTTTTTAACGGTAATATGATTACAATTACATTTTAAATCAGCCAATAATAATAATAAAAATAATAATAATAATATCATTTTTTATAATATCGTAGTATTCTTTGTTTTGTTTAATTGTGTCGTTTGTTGTGAAATATAAATTGAATTTGTTACTTTGTGACTCTCTGTTTTGTTTATAATTACGAGTCAATTTTATTTCGAATAGACTTAATGAGTTATACAGAACCCGAACTCTTTGAACGTTCTCTAAAATACACGATATTGAATGTGCTGATCAATTGTTTAAAGGTCAAATTAAAAACTATTCTTAATCACTACATTTGAATCTCAAACAAGGTAGTTTATTCAATAATTTGTAATACAATATAAATAAATTGACGGTATTATGTAATCTATGCAGTATATACAGTAAAATGTTATTGATTTAAGTGTATTCAATTTAAGGAAATTGTTAGACTTTCTTCTCGAAGTGGTTTGATGTAATTATGTTCACAGCGAACAGGGTCAGACCGGATAGTGGATAGATGATGACATTCAAACCGAATGCGGGTATTATAAATAGGATATTATAATATTGAGCACGGTAAAAACTTTGAATTTGAATTTCAAAAGCCAAAATAAACACAGCCTAGGGTTTTGTATAGGTGAACACATGCATAGGAAAAGATCTTAAGAATGCATATGGGAAAACTAAAAAAAAAAATAACCCATAGGATTATATTATGAATATTTACAAGTGACCACCACTGACGTTTTTTTGGTAAGGCACTCGGGGGACACAGATACGCAAAATAAACACTTTTGAACACGAATGAAGTATAGAGTTCGGATCATAAAGAAAAATGGAAATTCTGGTGGAAAGAATATCAGCGGATGGACATGATCAACAAATACAAAGTCATATAGATCGCGTCGACTTCAGCCTTATAAGAATAACATTATATTATTAAATAATTTAATAAAAATAGCAAAAAAATAATAGTGTCGATAATCCATATTTTTTTGTTTTAGCTTTGAAATAACTAAAAAAAAGGCAACTCAGTAGGTGAATTTTTTGATGTAGAGAAGATGTCTAGTATACCTCGTTATATGGAGTGGGTAACTGCAGTTATGGATGCGCTACATTTTATTTCAACGACAAATCATATTGTATACGATGAAAAACTATTCCAAGTTGAAGGCAATACAAATTGTTGCATTTATTTTAATTATTTATATTATAAAAAGGTTAACAGATGTTCTTGTTTTTTTTTTTTTTTAATTGGTGGATATAAAAACATAAGCGCTGAGAATTTTAATTTTTGAACTCCTGAAAGTACCGACTGAGTCCAATAATTATATACCAAAAACGTCCATCGAAATTGATGATTAGAGCTTTTGGTACTTACGCGTTATCTCGACTACCTTGGGTGCACAACCATGTTATATCGACTACCAAAATATTTCCAAGACTACCTATTATCATCAACCGTGTTATCTCGACTACCACAATTTAGTTACCACAAGTTATAATATAACTTGAAAAAAAATCTGGTAAAAATAATATGTATAAAATGTTTTTTTACGTTTTTATGGTTATAAAAAATGATTACAAAATAATGTATAAGTACTTTTTTTAATTACCTTTTTTTGGCATTTCTTAACATTAAATTTCCAAAATATTTCTTTTCCAAAATATAACTTTGCCAAGTGATTGTTTTGACAAATTCGTACACTTGGCAACACTCCGCATTCTTGAAGAAATTGCACACTTTCCTTTTCTGAAGATGGCAAATTAAAAAAATTCATGTTGGCTAGTCGTAGCGCGTATGTACTATACAGTAAATAATAACTGACGGACGACATAAATACCTGGTCTGATGGCAAGATACGTGGATAGTAAATGGTACATCGAAAACAAAATTAAATTGTCAATTACGATGATACAGATTACAACGCGGGAATGTACATTTTTAAATAGAATCTAACAGATAGTCTTGGAAATATTTGGGTAGTCGAGATAACACGGGTGATTCTCACAGGTAGTCTTGGAAATATTTGGTTAGTCGAGATAACATATAAGTACCGAGCTTTTTTATACAATAACATTCATGAAATAAATTTAATAAATTTTAAAATAAATATAACATTATGTAATGAATGCATCTTTTAATATTTTTTTGATATAAAACTATTACAATGTTATCAAAATATTTGAAATGTTATCACGAAAAATAACTAATAGTTTGGCATGAATGTATGATAGAACATAATTAGGACAGCTAACTACGAAACAATTTCGGAATATGCGGTGAACTACGCTGTTATTATAATAGTAGCCGAAAACGAGACAGTGACAGGTGCCAAAACATGATAACATGTTTCATAAATCATAATAAATTACAATTAATTATTTATGGGGTCATATAACATTGTGAGTTGTAAAAAAAATTGATTAAAATATGTACTCCAAATATATGTTTACCACTGAAATTCTACCTTTTAATTTTACCATACTCGTGTCTCTAAATATCGTTGTTACATTAGCTGTCAAATTACCATACACACCCGTATGATGCGTATTTTTAAACTCAGTTTACTAAATCAATGACACTTGCGGTTAATTTCGTAATTTAATAGTTAAAAATGGCTTTGAGTCATATTATTTGGAAACAACAAATAGTATTCACGTTGTCTAATATGCAGTAGTCTTCTTGTTCAACGGAACACGAAATTGTTATTTTTGAATTTGGCACTACACTTTTGTTTAAAATGAACTTTTTTTATCAATAAGGATAGCTTCTCTGAAAGCCTTGAACATTTTTCGTCGGTAAGACTGAAAGTTATAATAAGTCGTTATTAAAATGTCGAATACACAATAAACCCCTCAAAATATTATTTGCTTTGAAAAATCATTATATTTGTTTAACTTGAACGTAATAAAAACCTGTCTCGATATAGGTACGTACATGCTGGTATATAATTGTAATATGGTACTATGTTAATATGTCCCGGAAAAGTATATGTACGGTGCAAGCGATGTAGGTGGATATATTATTTTGAACTATATGTAATTTCCACTACTTAAGTGGAATTGCTAATCCCACTGCAGTGACACGTTTATAATCATATTTTTCATTACCATTCACGAGACATTATAAAAAGCGATTTTTGCGCAGCATTTCGGAATTTGAATAATTTCTCTCCGAAACGGCTAGCACGAATAGGGTTCACGAGAAACGCACCACTTAGCATTTGTCGACTACGTTTTCAAACATTAAACTATTTAAGCAACTGTGTTGAGAATAAACGAGACATCCGTTTGCAAGGAGTGGGCGGGTTTGGGTGGGGGGGGGGGAGAAATCGTATAACTAGATATGCGAAAAATAAAAAAAAATAAAAACACACCTTTTTTGGATGTACGGTAGTAGTGTCTATCGATAATATATAATGCGATTTCAAACATAAAAATGTTGACGCGAAATTGAGTGTACGGGAACGCGCGCACTCGTAAAGTAAATTCAATATCGCGAGAGTGCGGCGATGAAGAATAATCCATAATCAGATGAATGTATTATTCAATATATAATATACACTATATATTATATATATATATATATATATTATCTTGATGGGGCGCGTGGGAACGACAAAAGAATAGCAATTTGTGTCTAGAATACAATACCTAATAAAATATTATATATACCGATGGAATATCTCTGAATAATTTCGTTGAACGGCGAACGATACACAATATTATATTATTATTATTGTACGTACAAGCTACCTCGTCGCGCATCCATTTATATGTATACAAAATAAATTGTTCTGACTCACTGGTTCGTCATCACCTAGCCAAGACCGCTGAACGCATATTTTTTGTAATAAGCGTTCGAAAAAAATCTAAACGCTACCAGTGTTGCGCAATGGCTACGTTTTGTCGGATACGTATTTATATCCAGATACAACCATATCTAGTATCTTTATTTCATCCAGAAAATTAATTTCAAAATCGGTATCTAAGACAGAGGTCAGATATGGCTATCTAGGTAGACATTATCACAATAATTATTACTGTTATTGCAACTTTTAGGTCCTGAGACCTATACACATTCCTGCACCTATTCCATAAGATTACATTGTAGGTTTTGAGGAGTATGGTTAACAATACCAAAAATCAGAATTTGAATAAATACACGTATAAAAGATAGGTCCAATTGGCGTCGTGTAATAACATTACACATTCAATTAGATAAAATTATTTAAGTATGATCGTCGTATCTTTATCTCATTCGGTAAATTACAAAATAAGTATCTGACGGTGAAGATAGAAATTATAGCCATCTAGATAAATGTGCATGCTAATTTAAATTTGTAAACGTTTATCTACAATATTAATTTTAAGCGATTTAAACTGAGCTAATATAAGCATTAATATTTTCTATGCAACAAAAATAAATAAATAAAACTTGTCTAAAAAAAAATATCTCAATTCTATCTATTTATTATATTAGATTTTTTTCATCATATACCTACATTCAGACACCTTTTTCATATTAAGATGAAATAAAATTATGTAAGCACAACACTGGGGGGGGGGAGAACGTGCCTGATGTGAATCACCCTGTACGTAATCTGACGGCTTTGAATCGAGGGGATATTGGGCCGGTGGGTGCGAAAAAAAAAACTTACCCCACATCGAGCACGATCACCCAACTTAATGTCTTGCAAAAGATTACGATGGTATGGTATGAGTTAAAGTTTGCATATTGTGTTGGTGCAAATGGCCACGCACATCACCTATCGATGAAATTACTTTTGAGTTATTATTATTTCGATATTTTGTAATTATCATTAGCTGATCTGGGATTTGGCTGATGGTATATCATATTGTATCAGCTCGCCTAACCTAACCTGATACAACCAACATCGATGACCATCGCGTTGCGGAGATTTATATAAACAGTTCATTAGGTCTAACGGGAAAATTCATCTTCCTCGTCATAAAACCAAGACAACATAGTTTAATCAATTATATTATAATACGCGTAAGGTATCGAAAATTGGTTGAAAAGATAAAAATGTCCTAAATTTTCATTGAAATTGGGCTGGTGACTTTCGAATTTCAACTATTGTAGTTTTCATGCAACACGCTATAAACGTGAGTGTGAACCGCAGAAAGTTGTTGCGAATGCAATAAAATGTCAGCCCTGGTTATACCTACATCATTTTATGTGTCGAAACCTGACTGCTCTGCCAGTGTACAGATTTTAATTAAGTTGCGAGTGGTGAAAAATATGTTTTTCTTTTTCTAGAGTTGAGGCCTCGGATCGAACAACGTCGATTCTTCATACGTTAGCTCGAGATCTACGACCGTTAGCTATAACGTAACTGAGTTAGGTCACCATTAGAAACATAGGCATCTAGAAAACCCTCAAGCCACGCACGCTCCCAAAGGGAATGCATATTTTATTGGCGATATTACAAACTGTTCGGATTTCACAATCAAACTGGATTGAACAAAAAACTAGTGCTTATTCCAATAAAATGCATAACATTTATTATAGAGCTTAGAGTTTGGTTCAATCATAATATAATGTTTGAATAGTTTGGTGGGGGCATGATTTGATTTGTCGAACTTTCTCGAAGCATATTAAGTTTTAGATTAAATATACCTTCGATTTTATGCTTTTGTAAAATAATTTTTAAGGACTAGTATTCTTATTCTTTAGTGTACGCATTTTAATAACTCAGAATCTAACTGATATATATTAGATGCTCGTCAATATCATTTAAGCGAATCATGGTCATCATAATATTTTCCGTAAAAAGGTCTGTTTTAATTTGAAAAAAGAGATTTGTATTGCCCTACAATTCATTCCTCAAATAGTGTATTATACAAATCTAGATAATTGAAAGTATGATTATCAAAAATTCCGAAGAACAAAATTTGGCCAAATGTATTATTAAAATGAACTCAAATTGGGTGGACATGCTTGGTGAATCATATAACATCTTGTATTAAAGCACAATGTATCGAAATATAATTATCGTACACCGTCGTAAGAATTTACATTCTAATTTTACTTTTAACAGGTAGACTCAGCGGACACGCCTTCTCAAAGCACACGTCTTCATCCCTCCTCTCTGATATTATATAATTCCGCGTAAGAATCTATTCAGAAATACAATTTTTAATATTTTTTAAAAAATTCCATCTTACAGCGTCTCATCGTTGAAGTACAAATAGTGCGCTCGTGGAAATAATAAATCTCACGTCATCGATTGGTGTAGCTTTGGCCGGTCATCTGAGCATTGGGGCGCCCCGACCAAAGTCATCTTCAGAGCTTGTGACAAATCGAATTCTAAATTCATATTTGGTGTTAAATTGTTGGTATCGTGTTATAATCAAATTGCAACCGTGCTTACCAATAATTTACTACAGTTTAACTTTCAAACCAAATTGGTTGAAACACCAACGCACAACATAATATGTACGACGTTGATTCAGTGAATCCTGCTTGAGACTGCTTTTCAACCACAGGCGGCCTCTATACCTCATCTGCAGCTGTTTTCTTGTGAATATATGATTTCCGATTTAGTAGGAGTATTTTGTAAGTGGTTATTTCTGATTAATACATTTTGAAATAATTCAAATCGCCCACCTCTTTCTTAATTTTTTTCATAATTCTCACCACTTGTTCTGCATCCCGGCACTGATTGCCGACCTTTTCAGGGCATTAATCGTAATATATTTAATCTTTCACATTAAAATATGTAAATATGAACTTATCAAACATCGTCTGGTT